AAATAAAGGGTAAAGGATCTGAATAAACATTTCACCAAAGGATTGTATACATATGGCCAGTAAGTACGTGAGAAGATTCTCAACATCATTAGTCGTTAGATGAGATACCTTCACACTATAGTGGCTATAATCAAAAGGACGGAGAATAACAAGTGTTGGTGAAGATAATGGAGCCCTTATACACTGCTGTTGGGAATATAAAATTGTGCAGTTACTTAGAAAAACAGTGTCACAGTTCTTCAAAAGATTAAACAGAGTGACCATATGACCCTAGCATTTCCATTCCCAGGTATATATACCCTGGAGAAATGTAAACATATGTCCACATAAAGACATATGGGCATTAATGTACATAACAGAATTATTCATAATAGCCAGTTGGAAATAATCCAAATGTCCTATCAACTGATGAATGGATAAATGTGGTATATCCAAACTATGGAATATTATTTGGCAGTAAAGAGAAATCAAGTAGAGATAATATACTACAACATGTGAAAGAAGCCAGACACAAAAGGTCACATTTAGATGATTCTATTTATGTGAACTATTCAGAATAACCACATCTGTAGAGACACCATAGATTAGTTGCCTCAGGCTGGGGGTAACGGGAGGGTTTCTTTTTGAGTTGACAACAGTATTCTAAGATTGGTGGTTGCACAACTCTATGAATATACTAAAAACCAGTGAATTGCACACTTTAAATTGGTGAAAAATATGTGAATTATATCTCAATAAAGGTTATGAAAAATCACTAATAGAACTGAAACACTAGAAATTAACAAATTCCATTCCTCAGGTACCCTTCTTATTAAAATTGATCCTAGGAGAGGCCTCAGGTTTTCCTTGTTGGAAATTATTCTTGCCCCTTCTTCTTCCAGCAAATTGCTTGCTTATTATATTTTTAGTGTGGCCTAACGAAACATTTTCTGGTACTATGTGGATTTTATTATCGTTCCACTTCTGAGAAATTCTGTCATGTGTTAGAGATCGCAGTCTTCCATTTTAGTTATCTTTTAACAGAGTTTCATCAATATTTAAAACCAATATTGTGATTTAATGAGCCCATTCTTATGCTAATAGTTTTCAGGGGATAAGTATAAAAATTATTCTTTATAAGTTGGGAAAGATGATATTAATAGCACCCATTTTTCCTCTGTACTGCTTATGTGTAGAGGGTGCCCGTTAACATTATCCATGTGCCCAATAGTCTATGGCAATTCAATATTTGATATAAAGTATAGATGGAACTGGTAATTCTATGTATAATGTAGCATTAAAATGATTACTTTGCATTTAGTTTGATAATATTTTTGTAGTATGTTATTTGGGCAGATTCTTGGCTTTACAGGTTTTGCAGTAATGAAATGTAATACAAGATGTTTCTTGAAACTTCATTATGAATGTTTTATAACTATAATACCTATGGATTATGTCATTCTACAGAATGCATTACATATGGAAGTGAATTTTAAAAAATTTTTAAAAGAATTTAGGAGTCTTTTCAATATTTCTAAGTTTTTAGGCTTGGAATTTGGTTTCAAACCATAACTCTGAAACTAGACCACCCATTTCTCCTTAATGCATTAATTTTTTTAAAAGAAATGAAAGTATTGTGTGTACATTATTTTTAAAATATGGAAAGCAACACATTTTTTTTCTCTCTTTTTTTAATTTACATCCAAGTTAGCATATAGTGCAATAATGATTTCAGGAGTAGATTTCAGTGATTCATCTCCTACATAAAACACCCAGTGCTCATCCCTACAAGTGTCTTCCTTAATGCCCCTTACACATTTAGCCCCCACCTGCTCCCATCACCCCTTGAGCAACCCCCAGGTTGTATTCTGTATTTAAGGGTCTCTTATGTTTTGTCCCCCTCCTTTTTATACTGTTTTTGCTTCCCTTCCCTTATGTTCATCTGTTGTGTATCTTATATTCCACGTATGAGTCAAGTCATACGATATTTGTATTTCTCTGACTAATTTTGCTTAGCATAATACCTCTAGTTCCATCCATGTTGCAAATGGTGAGATTTTATTCTTTTTGATTAAAGCAGCACATTTTTAATCATTTTGTCAAGAGGAAAATATATTCTGTTTTGGTTCTCCATAACTTTTGAACAGTGTATAAATTGCAACTTTTATTTTTTTTTATTTATTTTTTTTTTTAAATTTTTTTTTTTAATGTTTTATTTATTTCTAGGAGAGAGAGAGAGAGAGAGAGACAGCGTGAGCGGGGGAAGGTCAGAGAGAGAGGGAGTCACAGACTGAAGCAGGCTCCAGGCTCTGAGCTGGCAGTCAGCACAGAGCCCGACGCGGGGCTCGAACCCACGAACCATGAGATCGTGACCTAAGCGAAAGTCGGACGCTTAACCGACTAAGCCACCCAGACGCCCCTAAATTGCAACTTTTAAAATAAACTTTTCTTAATGTTTCACTTCAGTAAAGTACACAAGTCATAAATGTTTAGGTATAATGAATTTTCATAAAGTGAACATCTCTGTTACGCCATCTGGATCAAGAAATAGAATATTACCAAGTACCCAGAAGACCCTACTCCCAAAGGTAACTGCCCTCTTGATTTCCAGCACAAATGATTAGCCTTGCCTGTTTTTGAACTTTATATATGTATAATATATATATGGTTTCCTGCAGAATGGATGTTTTTTATTCATTTTTTAAAATTTACATCCAAGTTAGCATTAGTGCAACAGTGATTCAAGAGTCTCTTCTCCATATTTCACAGTCTCTCATGTTTTTGTTCCTCTCCCTGTTTTTATATTCCTTTTGCTTCCCTTCCCTTATGTTCATCTGTTTTGTATCTTAAAGTCCTCATATGAGTGAAGTCATATGATATTTGTCTTTCTCTGACTAATTCCAGTTAGCATGATACCCTCTAACTCCATCCACGTAGTTGCATATGGCAAGATTTCATTCTTTTTGATTGCCGAGTAATACTCCAGTGTGTGTGTGTGTGTGTGTGTGTGTGTGTGTACACGTGTGTGTACCACATCTTCTTTATCCATTCATCCATCGATGGACATTTGGCTCTTTCCATACTTTGGCTATTGTTGATAGCGCTTCTATAAATATTGGGGTGCATATGTCCCTTCGAAACCGCATACCTGTGTCCCTTGGATAGATACTACAGTATGGATTTCTGCATAGCCTTAGGTCTATGCGACTTATCTGTGTCACTGCATCTAGCAGTAGTTAGTTCTTGTTGCCGGATGGTCTGAGCATAGTACAATTTATCCCTTCTGTTGATAAAAATTTGGGTTGATTCTGTCTTGAAGCAATTACAAATAGCACTGTTTTAAACATGCTTGGCCTTTGGCTGCACATGTGTACACACTTGGGTAAAATCCTAGGAGTAGAATTAAATGGGTTGAAAAGTATCTGTATTGTCAGGTTTTCAAAGTGGCTATACCAATTTGTTCTTCCAAAAGCACAGTTCCTGATTGATCAACATTAGACTATAAAAGATTTAGTTTCCATAATGTCCCTATCTCCTGCTACTTTGATACTTTAAATTATTTTTAGGGGTGCCTGGGTGGCTCAGTTGGTTACATGTCCCAACTCTTGATTTTTGGCTCAGGTCATGTTCTCCCAGTTCCCGGGTTTGAGCCTTGAGTAAGCTTCATGTGGACAGCTGACAGCAGGGAGCCTGCTTGGGATTCATATTCTCTCTCTTTCTCTCTCTCTCTCTCTCTTTTTCTGCCCCTCCCCATGGGCACACATTCTTTCTCTCAAGATAAATTTAAAAAAAATTATTTTTAATTCTTCAGTTGGAAGTACTATTGTAACTTGAAATAATAAATCTCTGCTCTCCTATTAACTGGAAAGTAACTTCTGTCCACTTGTGATAAGAGAAATATACTAGACACCTCCCTCTTCAATTGTATTATTCAAAAGAAGATGCTCTCCTTCATACAGAGAGGAAATGTATACTACACTTGATCTTAGCCAAAAGGCCGAGAAGTGATGAGGAAATGTATAGAATTCAAATTTGTGCCACATCATATGACCAAGTAGTGTTAAGGGGGGAAAAAAACCCCATAAATGAATGGGGTTAACAATATGATAGAAGAGAGAGCAGGGTAAATTTTACTGATCTGAGAATAAAATACTAGAGTAATGCCTTTTTTCCCCATGCCTACTATCTATATTTGTTAGGGTGGGGATAGTTGCTTAAAACATGATTCTCAAAATTTCTGTGGCTTAACCTGAGAGAAATTTCTTTTTGTGCTCGTCTAATCCAGTGTGGGTGTTCTTTGTAAGAAAGGCAGCCTTCCCTTGTAAGTACATGGGATTTAGGGGCCTAGACTGTCACTTATTTCATCCTGTGGCTGTGCCATCTCACAAGGCATAGGAGACCTCTGCATTCAGCCAGATTGGGGAAGAGATGATGGGGAAAGAATGTGTGCTTCTAAGAATAAAAGTCTTGTTGCAGAAGGGACAGTCTTTATTTGGTCTTATATTCCATTTGTGGGAACTTCATATGGGAGTTCCACTGAAATATGGGGTTCTGGGAAACATAGTCCTAGGCTGAGATTTGTTGGGTAGTGCCAGCCCCACACGATATTGGAGGAGCATGGGGTTTTGCTGGGTAGCTAGTGAGCCATCTCTGCTGCACCATCTCACCAAGGATCCGACCAGAATATTAATGATCACTAACTTGGGAGAATTGTACTTCTAAGATGTTGATTATTTTAAGTGGTCAATTTTTATGTGGAAATAAGTTTAGATTTTCAACTAAATGGCATTTCTCACTTCCTTTGGTACCACTTAGTTGTGATTTATTTTAACTTTAGTTTTCTTATACTTTAGTTATATCACCTGTCTGTGAAACTTAGAAATTACCATGTTTATATTAGTTTTACAAATCAGTAAGAAAGAAGAAAGGCTGTCAACCTATGGTAGGTCATTGGATGTAAACACTGATTACATTTGATATAATCCCTCTCTCATCTTTTTTCTTTTCCTCCTTCCCTCTAGTTTGTGATGGGCACAATGGAAGAAGCTGGAGTGTGTGGGTTAGGGGTGAAAGCAGACATGTTGCGCAACTCTCAATCAAATGATATTCTTCAACATCAAGACTCAAATTGTGGTGGTACAAGTAACAAGCATTCATTGGAAGAGGATGAAGGCAGTGATTTTATTACAAAGAATAGGAGTTTGATGAGCCCAGCATACTGCACACAAGAGTCGAGGGAGGAGATTCCTGGGCGAGAGGCTCGAACAGATCCCCCTGATGGTCAGCAAGATTCAGAATGCAACAGAAACAAAGAAAAAACTTTAGGTAATAATCTGTGCTCAGTGGTTGAACATCTTCTCATGGTGCACTTTTTTACTTCTGTTTTCTTCAGCACAGGTGATTGATGAACATGGCCGGTGTTGAGGCAGTTATTGTTTAGCTAATACAGCTCTTGGGGAGTCAGTCTGTGTGTCTGCTGCATTTTGTGTAGGAGACAAAAAGCCAGAAGTTGTTTTCCCTGAATAATCCAGAATAGGCTTCCTTGACAAAATTTGGGGCCAATTTGACAGGAGTAGTATTTGACTTGCCTTTTTGCATCTTTAATGGAGTCTGACTGGAATTTACTGTGAAAACTGTATATTTATTTGATATATTTAAAAACTAGTCCTAACACTTAAGAGAAAACATAATGTCTGTAGTTCAGAAAGTGGGTTAAGACGGGCTTTCAAGGGTATGTTTTCTTTCTCCCTGCTGTGTTTGAGATTTAGGACTAAAAAAGTAATACGTTAAATCTTGTTATGAAATCTGAAATCCCCTTTTATTTTAGCCTTACTTATTGCCCCTAAGTTTTTTATACTTATTATACCTAAGATTAACAGTGTTTGATTTGTTTGGTTTTCTCTATAAAATTGTCCTTATATACTTTTAAAGTTTGTTTATTTAGAGAGAGAGAGGGAGGGGAAGGAGAGGCAGAGAAAGAGGGAGAATCTCAAGCAGGCTCTGCACTGACAGCAGAGTCGGACACTTAACCAACTGAGCCACCCAGGCGCCCCAAGTTATCCTTATTAAATCCATTTTCTGCCAACTTGGAAAACCTAAAAATTATTATAGAAAGACAAGAAATAATTTTAATTCCTTACAAATTTTTTCAAAATCAGCCCCAGTTATATGTGTAAAAGCAGATTAAGTCTTAAAAAGTTACATGTTACCATGTGACCCTCTTAGATATGTACCCAAGAGGGTTGAGAGCACATGTCATACAAAAATGTGTACACGAGTGTTCATGACAGCCTTTTCCATAATAGCCAAAAAGTTGAAACAACACTTATCCATCAGCTGATGAATGGATAAAGAAAATGTGGTGTATCTGTACAATGGAATATTATTCAGTTCTAAAAAGGAATGAAGTACTGATAACATCCTACATGGATGAATCTTGAAAACATGCTAAATGAAAGGAACCGGACACAAAAGGCCATATGATGTTTCCATTTTATATGAAATGTTCGAAATTGGCAAATCTGTGGAGACAAAGTGGAACAGTGGTTGCCACGGTCTTAGAGTGGGAGTGAAAGGGAATGACCGTTAATGGATATGGGGCTGCTTTTTGGGGTGATAAAAATGTTCTGGAATTAGGCATTGGTGGTGGTTGCACAACTTTATGAACGTACTCAATTGTACAGTTTTAAAAGGGCGAGTTTTGGGGCACCTGGCTGGCTCATTTGGTAGAGCATGCAACTCTTGATCTCAGTGATGTGAGTTTGAGCCCCACTTTGGGTGGAGAGATTAGTTTAAAAAATAAAAATATTAAAAAATAAAGGGGTAATTTTTATGGTATGTGAATTGTATCTCAAAGAAAAAAACCAAGCAGATGGAGTATGGGTTTTTAAGTCTTGATTAAAAATTACTGGCTATATTATGGTTACTTCTAATCATACTTAATAATCATGTTGAGTCATCTCTTAAAATTCTTATTGGCCTCAGGCTGTGAATGAGAGATTTAGGTATTGTGGATAGGAAGGTGTTCTATTTTCATGTCAGCCTGCGTTTTTTCTTCAGAGCAGTCTATATACCACATACCAAAGTCATTTTAATATATATTTCTAGAGGCTCCTGGGTGGCTCAGTCGGTTTAAGCATCGGACTCTTGATTTCGGCGCAGGTCATAATCTCACGGTTCACGAGTTCAAGCCCCACATCGGGCTCCGTGCTGACAGTGTGGAGACTGCTTGGGATTCTCTCTCTCTTCCTCTCTCTCTCTCTCCCTCTCTCTCTTCCTCCTGTGAACGCATTGTGCATGCTCTCTCTCAAAATAAATAAAATGAACTTAAAATATATATATATAGATTTCTAAATATCCTACATATAAAAGTAAACATCCTAAATATAAAAGTAAACATTAAAAAAAAAGTAAGAATGGTTCTTTAAGAAACAAAACATTACCACTTATTTTGAAAGACCATTTGTCCTCTATTTCAGACACCTGCTTCTCCCTGCGAAAAAGTTTTTAAAATACTGTTGTTAGTGCTTCTCATGGGGGAAAAAGTTATGTTGACATCCTTTTATATACACTAAAGTTGGTTAACACACGGAATGTGCTTTCTAAATCACATAGAAGTTAATTGCTCATAGAAAAGATACATGTCACAAGTAATTATGTGCATCTTAGACAGAAAGTACCAACAGAAATTCCTTTTGAACTTGTTTCTATATTTGTACTCGGTTAGGAAGCTTTTAAAAATATTCTGCCCTTTGTAACTTGCCCTTTGTCTTAACTTGGACACCAGTGGTTAAGCAAGGGAATTTTTAAGCCTTCAGCAAGTGTTCTTACAAATAGCTAGCAGTATTAGTGAATGAAGAAATTTGGGGGGAGGGGGGTTGCATGCTAATCCAGAACTTAAAAATAGCTTTCTTAATTTAGCTTATAAATCTCTTACTTCTAGTTATAGGCACAAATTATTTCACTAGGGATATCAGAACATAGGAAGTGTTCTATAGAATTTACAGGTTAGGTTTGATCTCATTCTTCTTCTGGGACTTATTTCTTATCTTGTTAATCATCAGGAAAAGAAGTTTTATTATTGATGCAAGCCCTAAACACCCTTTCAACTCCAGAAGAGAAGTTGGCAGCTCTCTGTAAGAAATATGCTGATCTTGTGAGTATTAAATAAAGGGAGTAAGGTTCATATGAAATACAGCAAAATATGTACGTACTTGATAAGCTTTTTAAAATACAGTTTTGATGTAGCTTTAGATGTAACATATTGTATTCCAAAATTGAAGAGGAGACTCATTTCTTGGGGCTTCTTGTTGCTTGTATGACTTCATTTTATAAGGTGATACATACAGAACATCATAATGCTAAGGTATGGCATAGATTTTTTAGAACTCAGTTTTAGAAATGAAAAGGCAGACTTAGAAACACTGTGTTGTGATGCTTTAGATGCTAGTTGGGGTGTAGTGGTTCCTGTACTTAACTTTTCCCAAGGGAATTCTAGAGAGAAAGGCTCTGCCCGTTGTAATTGAAGTTGTGAATTAGATGAAATAGTCTACTAAAACAATACTGTCTCAGGAAATCTTTATTTCACATCTATGTGCCAGACATTACTTTTTCCATCTTCCAAGACACTGACCTCATTTGTTCTTGGCCTATGTTATTTCAAGTAGCATTAATTCTTTTTAAATTATTGAAAGAAGCCTCAACATGAAAACCCTGCCATCTTGTTTAAGAATAGGGAAGTCCTAGAACCCTTTGAAGTAAGAGTTGTAGGAAACTTTTAGAGTGGGTAGTTGTAATATAAATGCTAAAAGTAATGCTTTTTGTAAAATTTCGGTGAACTATTAACAGTTTTTATGCATTTTCATCTGTTGTTAAAGCAGTCATTACATGTCCTAAATAATACTTTTTGTCATTGACCAGCTCTAAAAATGAATGGTTTTATTACTCAAAGAAGTCAAGTTACTCTCCCTTGATTTATAAAGGGGTATGTGTATTCCCCCACGGAGCTGGCATTCGGCAGCCCAGCACCTTTTATTCAGAGCAGTAGGAAACCCTGTATAACAGTATAAATGGCCTAGAACAGTCACAGATAAAAAGATGGCAGAAAACAAAGTGTGTTCTGATTGCTGGCTTCAGGAAAGGAACACTTCCACCTGCAGAAGACAGTCAAGACAGTCGGCTGTTGCATCTGCATGAGAATCCTGCTGAGAAGTGGTGGGAAAAGAAGACCAGAACACAAAAGGGAAAAGAGAAGAAAAAGCAGTGTAGAGGGCATCGTTACTTGACCCAGTATTGTGACAATGGCAGACTCTAGTCAATGGGTTAGAAGAAAGGACAAATAGTCGCCTAGGGCAGTCCTTCTCAGATTCACCCATATCATTTGGACTTCTGTTAAGAGGCACATTCTTTTTTGTTGCTTTGTTTTATTTTAATTTACATCTCAGTTAGTTAGCATATAGTTCAATGATTTCAGGAGTAGATTCCTTCATGCCCTTTACCCATTTAGCCCTTCCCCCTCCCACATCCCCTCCAGTAACCCTCTGTTCTCCAGATTTAAGACTCTTTTATGTTTTGTCCCCCTCCCTGTTTTTATATTATTTTTGCTCCTGTTCCCTGATGTTCATCTGTTTTGTATCTTAAAGTCCTCATATGAATGAAGTCATGTGATCTTTGTCTTTCTCTGATGGACTCATTTCGCTTAGCATAATACCCTCCAGTTCCATCCACGTTGTTGCAAATGGCAAGATTTCATTCTTTTTGATTGCGGAGTAATACTCCATTGTGTGTGTGTGTGTGTGTGTGTGTGTGTACACACACCACATCATCTTTATTCATTCATTATGGAGTAATACTCCATTGTGTGTGTGTGTGTGTGT